AGAGGTCTGCCACGCCATGTGGTCACCTCCGGGGCAGGCGGGAATCGAACTCATGCAGAAGTGGCTTTAGTTTCTCAGTGCTGTGCTTTAACCCGATGCGCCACCAGGGAGGGCCCCTCGGGAGGGCCCCCCCTTTTTTTTTAAAGTTTAAACAGCAACAATTTAAATGCTAGATAAAATGGTACAGTAGAAAAAAATTGCTTGTTGTTTATAAGATGCAATATTCTCTGAGAGTTACTAAATTTTAGCCATTACTTTTATGATTTTTTATACTGTCTAAAAGTTGAAATATGGGAACAATACATTTGGAGAAGTCTATTTCTCAATTTAGTTTTCTGATTCAATTATTTACAAGTGATGACCTAGATGTAATTAATGTAAAAGAGTTATACTAATTGCTAAGAAAGATGGAAAGGCTACAAGTCTATGCCCACATTAACAACCTGTTAGACAATTGCATATTTTTTCAATAGTCTATAATTTGTGTGACTAAATAAATGCCTCATTATATGAGAAAAAGAGTGAATTACATATGTAACTTTTTTTTTTTTTTAAGATTTATTTATTTATTCATACAGAACTGGGGTACAGGCCAGAGATGCGGAGGGTGAGAGGATTCACCAGAGACAGAGTGGGGTGCAGAACAGGCAGATCGACGAAGTACACTGCTGAGGGGAGCAGCGGGCGGGCCAGGAGAGGTCTGGCTCGCCATGTGGTCTCCTCCGGGGCAGGCGGCAGGCGGGAATCGAACTCATGCGGAAGCGGCTTCAGATTCTCAGTGCTGTGCTTTAACCCGCTGCGCCACCAGGGAGGGCCCATATGTAACTTTTTTTTAGAAAAGATTTTTATTTATTCATGCATACAGAACTGGAGTACAGGCCAGAAGTGCAGGGGCAGTGAGAGGATTCACCAGACACAGAGTGGGGAGCAGAACAGGATGACTGACTGAAATACATAGCTGAAGGGAGCAGTGGGCAGGTCAGGAGAGGTCTGCTGTGCCATGTGGATCACTTCTGGGGCCAGGGATTGAACTCGTACTGAAGTGGCCACCGCCAGTGTTGTGCTCCAACCCACTGTGCCTACATATGTAATTTTACATGATCTACTTGGCACATCAAAAAAAAAAAATTTAAAAGAAGACATTACTTTAGATGCCTATGAAAACCATAATTCCAGATGAACTAGAAAAGAAACTTCAAGAAATATACTGAATTCCTGAAGAGATCAAATAATGACAAGAATGGTACTTCAAAAGCTAATGGTTAAATCAAGATTGATATATGTTTATTTCAGATAAGCTGTCTTAAAACAGTTTCTTCCCAAAATAAAAATGAGAAACACTGTTTTACTCCTGAAAATAGAGGAAATGGAATTTAATTTCAAAGGAAAAGAATTTTTTCCTAATGATTTCATCCAATCATGTGAGGAGGAAGTCATTAAAAGAAGACTTGAAGAAGCAGCTGCAGAAGGATAAACACAAGGAATGTATGTGAAAATGTTAGAATGACTATAAAAATTTTAAATACCACCAAGAATTATGTTTACCTGCACCATTTGTCATTACTAAACTGCTGCGATGTTCCTGAAACTGGCTTTCTCTTCGTAGTCTTTGTTCTTTAGTAATTTCTGCTACTCGAAGAGGCAGATCTGAAAATTCATCTGTAGGCTTAAATAAAAGAGGCACACACATAAAAAAAAAAAAATCACTTTTAGTTTTAGACACCTTGGCATTTAAATCATGGGTATAACAAACTCATTTATACTTAATAAGAAATAGCAAAAAAAAAAAAAGTTCTAGAGCTGCATAGTGTGGCACTTTTCCAACATTGTGATCTTAATGCCACTAAAACATACACTTAAAAGTATAGGGTTAAAATGGTAATTTGTTATGTATATTTTATCATGATATAAAAACCAGAAAAGCATACATGATATTATAAATGCACACATTTATTAAGTATATATATATATATGGATCCAGCCACCTATATATGCACACCTACACATACTTTTATACACAAGCAATTTCCAATTAGAAAGACTGTGATCTAAAATTAATTTGCTTTGTATTCCCAATGTAATATTGTTATAAATCATAAGTTACCCGTCTTTCAAAAAGCTTATCTAATGACTTAACCCAATTTACAATTATACCATAGAAATTTTAAAAAGGAGCAAATATAATACTAGTGAGCAAAATAGAAAGATATACAACTACCTAAGACATTAACACATTTACCTTGAGCCTACAGATATTCTTCACGAAGGAACTCATATGTTACCCATTAGCCCATTTTCTCATCCTTCTACCTCTGCTCAAGATTACCCAGTCCCTCAAATTTCAAGTTTTAGCTGAAAGTAACTCAGTTTCCATTTGATATTCTTGGATATAAAGCTATTTCTATAATACAATGAGATAATAAACATGTAAACATCCATGGTAAAAAGACAGTAAAGAAACAGTACCATTTGGGGATGGCAGGACTATGGGAAACTTTTTCCCCACCTTGGTTTTTGAATCCCATTAAGACATTTTCCATTTTAATTACATATCTTAATCAGGAGTTACACAAAATAGAAGAATCACTTACTTCATTCCCTGACCATCTCTTATCACCACTGTCCACACTATTAAAACCTGAATCAAGGGCTCCATATGGGCGACCTGAGTACAATTCTTCATGGCTGCCAAAAACAGATTTCAGTTGTTACTGAGAAGTTTGTTACTTTAAAAATTAACAGTGGAAAGAAATAAACAGGGTACAATTTTACTAGCAAATAATTTCATGGTGCTTAGTGACTTAACTATTTAGAACTAAATAGACATTCTTTAAACTTCTCTAAAATTTAATTTTATTCTTTTTTTAAAAAGATTTATTTATTGATGCATACAGAACTGTGGTACAGGCCAGAGGTGAGGGGGTTGTGAGAGGATTGACCAGAGATGGAGTGGGGAGCAGAACAGAGAGATGGACCAATTATACTGCTGAGGGGAGCCACAGGCAGGTCAGGAAAGGTCTATGGCACTGTGTGGACCACCTCCAGGGTTGGGAATTGAACTAGCACTGAAGCAGCTACAGCTAGATTGCAGTGCTATGCTTTAACCTGTTGCATCACCAGGAAGGACCCCTTATAACCTTTTAATGGGAAAAATTCCAAGTTAACACAAAGGAAACTGAATAGTAGAATAATGAGCTCATTCAGCTTCAAAAATATAAAAAAAGGCCCTCCCTGGTGGCGCAGCGGGTTAAAGCACAGCACTGAGAATCTGAAGCCACTTCCGCATGAGTTCGATTCCCGCCTGCCGCCT